TAGCTGCTTGGATACATTACTCTAAATGTGGTCTTACATATATGGGATATAAAATTCGGAACATTTCCTCGTCAAAAGATTTGAACGCTCGGCGAAGTGACTATAACGCGGGAAAACCTTTGATAGCGGCTGCTTTGCAATTCGTGGTTGTTTTTAAATCATGACTTTTTACTTCTCCTAAGTCTTTATGTTCTTGAGCACATGGAAGAGGTTTACCCTCAATAGTGTAACGGTAACTATTACCGTGACCGATGTGCATGAACACACTCTTCCTAGCATTGATTTCTAAGCCCCACTCTCGAGCCCATCTAACTAAATCGTCTAAGTCAGCTTGAAGATCCAGATGATCAGCCGCACTTTTTATTGTTCTCCAGATTTTTACATCATCCGCAAACAATAATGTAGACGACCTAAGCAACAGCGATAACTCATTGATGTAGAGAAGGAAGAGCAGAGGGCCTAAGATGGTGCCTTGGGGTACACCATTTTTGACCGGCTTCCAATCGGATAGCGTTCCATTGACCCTCACTATCTGTCTGCGGTCACATAAGAAGTTTCTTATCCACTCATGTACAGTACTTATTATTCCGAAGCTCGTGAGCTTCTGCATAAGACCTACGTGTGAAACCTTGTCAAACGCTTTGCTAAAATCTATGAATATCACATCGACAAATAGACCGTTATCTAGGGCTGCTGTCCAATCCTCCCTCGCAAAAGCAAGTCTTTCAAAAAATAACCAAAAGACCAAGAACCTTGGACAATTAATACTTCACAGTTACCTCTCTTTGGTTTTATTATAGTTCAGAATCGATTTTTCATGCATACCTAGCATCGGCTTCTGATTTGATTTATTCTTAATACGCACGTGTAAACCATGTTGATTGGGGATTATATTGCAGTTGAAATAAGGTTTGTCCCTGAATGTATTCAGAAATAATGGTAAAGTAAATGAATCAACATTCCAGGTTGGGATTTTTGAGTGGTCATAAAATGAATCAGTGAACGTATTTTTGCACAAGAACGCTCAAAATTGTTGGTTGAAGTTCCGATCCCATTGTCTGGAGATATTTGTAGAAAAAATAACAGTTGGCCCTGGGGACGCCACTTATAATCCCTAGTGGTTCTTCCTAAGTTAAGAGCGACGGACTACCCCCATTCTAAGTATTTTTACCAGGAAAGTTTTGAAAATACCAAACTAGTTGCCTTTAGAATGATAATCGAGCCCTCGGTATTAACCGTTCACACGTTCCTAATCTCATAATATCAAACTCGAAACTTCTTATATCTAGTATGAGTAGGCGGTTATCTCATTTTTTTCTGGCGTTTAAAAGGTTACTCACTTTGCTTCGTTAACCATGAACTAAAGAGAAATATAATTACCTTAAAAGTGCTCTTGAATTTACATCATAGATCTCGTTAGAGAATAAAACTGGCTAGATGCCCCTGTATGGCTAACTAAACAGAGACTAATGTGCCCTGATGTAAGGAAGCAGTTAAGACTGCAAATGAGGATTTATTAACCCTACAAAATCAATTTACAGTAGATAAAAAGCCATATTAAAATACACTGACGTGTATATACATAACTTATTTGGTAAAGTCAAGTTTTAATGCGTTGTCGTAAGCAGTAGTTAATATGAATTAATCAGCAACTCAATACACATATACAGTCCGTGACATCAATAGACTTAACTGTACTAACAATGTGATAAGTACTGAGTTGCATATTTGTTTCTTCCTGACCCAAAGTTTATTATTTATATGACATCCACTGAAGCTTGGACACTACATGCTTTGAGAATCTGACTACCCAAAGAAATTACCAGTCACAGGTCTGCCTGTTTAAGTAAATGACCCAGTTTAACGAGCACTTTTTCCTTTGATTATTTATCTAAGGCCATTTAGGACCTACTGATATGTATGTTTCGTGTGTTTCTGAGCATTAATAAATAATAATGTTTGTGCTCTTCAGTTCACGAGGTTGAGGGCTAGCATTATCATCAATTCTTGTAGTTCCGGTTGAACAGTTAAGTAACATGTTCATTTTTCTTACTGTTTTGCTAAAATGTAAATCGATTCAAACTCTCAGATTTGGATGTTTTAACCACGAATTCTAAACTTTTAAATAGACTCCAAATGTTTATTTCTGTGGAGAATACTTATGTATAGTATTTATGGTCATGTAGTAACCTGAAACTCACATATGTTTTGTAGAATGATCGTGTAAAAATGCCCTAGAGTGCTATCAATTTAAATTTTTAACTAACCTGCCGAAATGTCTACAGTTCAAAATGTATTTCACGCATATTAGGTACTACATAATACTTCGGGACAGTTCTGGAACTGTACTTAGTTTAACTAATGGTAATGAGGTAATTGAGTGCATGATGGTCCCACTTCTCTGTGAATTTGCATCTGATTTATGCACTGACGACCAACAGAAAATAGTTCCAACTACTTAAAGCCTATTTTTATTAACATTCTTTTGAGATATTCACCTTTACCAATAAAATAGCACTTGTTAGTACCAGTCTTTACAATGACAAAAATCGATAAATACTACTATGAGTTAAAACTATAAACAATAGCTTTAAGGCCATCTCAATAATTTTGTATACAATGACTGACATTTCCATATTAGACTGTTGTTTGCATCAGATAACGTCCTATGCGAAGTTACTTGCCACCTGTAAACAATCCTGGGCTCACTCAAGCTACAACTACGGTGCTTAGGTCTGACCATTTACTTGAGTTTGGGTAGCCGAACAATGTTACTAGCCTTTGTTGCTAGAAGTTTGACTCGAAGTTGATTAAATAAATACTTCTTAAAGTCAGTTTTATCAACTTACTACAACTAAATTCCAGCAAATCTGTCAATATAAAATTTAGGAAGTTATGTGGCTCAGTTGGTTACTAAAACACGGTACGGACATTCAAACTTAGTGTATGATAGGTAGCATAAAAATCTTAAACATACTCCCTGATCTATTATTTTCATAAGAATAGAAAAAACTTTAATTAAATGTATTGTTCTAACCAACATCACAAGTTTGTTTCACATCTCGAAGGTTATTTATTTTTAATTATTTGAACACATAGATATTAGTACAAAGGGGCAACAAACACATATACGCGACACAAATCTCATTTGATATGTGTGAGGGCTGTGATACTGCCCGGGTGTCCAGACCGAAGCAGATGGTTTTCTTAGGGGGCCACACCCGGAGCCTTCGACGTAAAGGTCTGATCCACAAGGCAGTGGAGCAACGTAAGGAGATGCAGTCCCATGGTAGCAAGTGACCAACGATTGGTTCATACGCCATTTGTTCCCTCAGGATACTGGAGCCCATGTGCACCATTGGTTTGGAATCAGGGTTTTCCAACTCCCCTACGTGAACTCTCCTTGTCCACCAACCCAGTTAAAGCGCCGGACATTCTCTTTTTGTCCTCTCAATTTCGTAAACACCCCCACTACGAGAAGGCAGTGAGTAGGACTTCCCTGATAGAGGCTACATACGCGCGGCCATGTGAGAGCATTTCGAGAGGGAAAACGGACTCTCCCTACCCTCGTCCGTACTAGGGCATTTGGGGGCCATCTCGAAGGTTGTTTTACAGTAATTGATCACCGAGTAATAAAGTCCTATTTGTCAAGTCGTTAGTGCTGACCGGGTTCTATCGATCAAGTTGCAATATGATCAATGGTAATCCACATCAAAGTGGATTATGTTTGGTGTCTCGTGGTTTCATATTATCGACAGGAGCTCCTGGATGTTGCTAACAAGTTCCAACTAGCACAAAACACAAGTCCAAGGTTTCCTACCAATAACCATCAACTACTTACCTCTAATAATATTAGTGAACCAAAGTTCATAATCTTCCAGTAGAATATTAATGTGAGAAATATAGCTGATCTGTAATAAAGAAAGTTTTGATGTAGGCAAAGAGAAACTACAATATGCATAACACATATAGACTTTCTGTACAACTCGAAGTGTACGTATTTCCGAGCTCCCCATTTTCGAAATGAATAAATATTCATAGTTATACATATCATCATACCCCTTGGTTCAACTGTTCATTACAACTTTCATAGTCCCCATTTTTTGATGTTTGACTTGAGAAGATCACGTAACTATCACCATTTTGAGCATTAAGTTTTATAAATACTAATTGTTAATTCGTATCTCCCCTTGGTTTGAGGTTAAAGACTCAATAACTCTCAACGAATGTACTATCTCAAAGCCTACAAAGACTGGGTGAGACTCATATGTATACAGTTTCTCTGTAAGCATATTTCTTCCAGTGAACAACTTGTGATACAAAGAGACTACATTGTTCCCAGTGCTTTACACTACAGTTTCCTTTTATATGTTAGTGTTTGTGAGGTAGTTAACTCATTTTGCTGAGCCATCTTATCACATTTGAGAATTCTAGTCTATCTATTTCTGGTTAGGAATCTGGATACTGTGTCTTGATTTCCTATATCCAACTAAAAGTTGAACACATACGTCTATTTGGTTGCCGATGAGTGGCCCTCTAAGAAAACCACCTGCTTCGGTTTGGGCACCTGGGCAGCATTCCAACCATCACAGATCGAATGATTTGTGTGGTGCATATATATTCGTAGCTTCCTTGTACCAATGTTTATGTGTTTAAATAAATAATAAATCCTGTTTATAACAAACTTCACTCTATTTCATCCCTATTCAAGTGTTTCATATCTGAATTAACCTTGTTTATATTTTAATTAATCCAGTAAACGCAACTGTTGGGGGTTGGTAATGCCTGTTGTTCGTGACGGTAAGACAAGACTCCTACGCTACCCTGCCTTACTGTCACAATGCATTCTTGAATCTTCAGTGTATGCGAAATGTGTTTTGTCATTAAAAGATGTTAAGCACAATTCTTGCGAAAAAGAATTTCAAATATTAAAACGTTGTGTTCAAAGCCGTGCACGAGAAGCCGGCATAAGACTTTGATTTTTGTTGTTACTGTCTAAGATGTCGGGAAGCGAGAAATCAAAAGCCAACTTGACTTCTCATGTCAGTTTGTTCCCAGCACCACCTTGGCAACTGATAAATAAACTCTTCAGTACCGAGACCCCTCCACGCCCACCTACCCCTCCTGGTTCAACTGCTTACAGAATGTTCGGAAATTTTTACAACTCTGAAGATGCCATCCTCCGATCTCTGGAATCACAAGGTGTTCGTCGAGTTTATCCACAGGTTAGTTCACCAACAGATCTAACTATTTTAGTCCTAAAAAATAGTTGAAAATGTAGTAGTAATACTACGAATCGTGGTCCTGAAGATATATTTCTATTAAATTAGAAGGGTTAGATGGAGGTCACCAAGTATTATTAGATCAAAATGCTTCTTAATTACGGAGACCAGTTAGAGAACAAAAGTTAAAATTAATAGGTATCCATGCCAATGTGGACTTAATAGTTCTAAAGAAGTTGAACTCTGGGATAAAAAGTTAGTAATATATTTTTGTCATATCCCAATCAGTAGAAATAGTATTTCTGACGTTTCGTGACTTAATATACGTCACTTCTTCTGAGCAAATAAATAACTGAGATAAAATCAACACAAGTTTAAATAACACAGAGGAAACATTGCAGAATATTTTTAGTACAATCAAAATATTAATGAGTCTGAACATGTCAATATTAAGTTGTTTTAGCTTAAGGTGAATTTATATGACATGTCACCATTAATTTGTGTCAGGTGGGTATAGAAAATGTATACATTTCTAATACGAAGTAGTAGAATTGAAACTGAATGTGTGCAGATTGTGAGGTAAATAAATAGCGTCAAGTCTGGTTGTTGGATGAATAGTAAGGTCTTATTTCATAATGAGGGCAGAGAGATTTGGCATTATACGAAACGCTTCGGCTACTCCCTTTTCTTTATAGTTGGGAAAACCTTTCTGAAATATTTTGATATTTTTAATATCAATTTAGTGGTCATTGGAAATAGCATATACTGCTATTGGTGATCTAGCTTAACTTGTAGATTTTCCAATTCTATAAGATTATTAGGCCTATGTGTGTAACTTACGTGTTTCTTGGCATGCGTCGAGATCTCATGGGAAGAGTCCAATGTAAAACGCATCAAAATAGACACAACCTAGTTTGCAGACAATTTCTATGTAGATGTAAACGGGATCTTATCTTTTATTTGTTTGTTGTCTTATAGAAAGCTTTAATTTTGTAAGTTTCCAAGATCCGTTGTAATTCGTATGTCGTACCTTGGCGGTAAGATAAAACCACAGTACCGATTCAACATTTACCACTAAAATTGTTATTTATAGAAGGATAGTTTTGTTCGAACATGTTTTTATAATATTGTTAGGAAAGTTAATAAATCGTAGGATGTTTATTATATATCCTCTCTTAGCCTGTTTTCTGAAGTAATAATCTTGGTTACTCTTCTGAAAAGATTCTGGTTTAGGGAAATTTTTGCACTGAATCGATGTGCAGAGTTAAAATCAATATACCAATCTAAATGTGTCGGCTTTCGGTATACGGCTAGAATTCCTTTTAACTAAACAGTCTAAGAATGGTAGTTCATTATGTTATTATTATTATTATTATTATTATTATTATTATTATTATTATTATTATTATTATTATTATTATTATTATTATTATTATAAGAAGCTTTATTCAACATTATACTTTTGGTACAACATAGAATTCTCAGCATAAAGTTTTCAACAAGTTTCTTTTTCTTATATCTTGATCGATTGTGACGATAAATTTCGAATGATGACCAGTTAGATGTTAGGAATTCGGTAATCCACATTTGATTAATGTTCATTCGTTTCATTGCATATTGCCAGTCACCATGATGTCGCTGATTGTACCTTTCTGTATCCCGTATAGCGAAAGGTTGTAAACTTTTCATAAACGCGCCCGAATAGATTGTGAGCACAATAGACATATTGATGTGCTAAAACAAACAACAAAACAGATAACTTGAAGAAATATCTAGATCGAAGGAACAGGTAGCCCAGATATTCAAGTGAATATGATGTGTTCTGAGAACGTGTTCATCTGTATGAAGAAACTTCTAGGGAGAGTTTTTTAATAATGAAGAATTTGTCGTCTGCATATCTGAGACAGATGCGTTGCCTGATGGTACTGACAAAAATAAGTGACTCAATATGGGGCATTAATAAACTATCAACAATCAGAGTTACTGAAGATCCCATGGTTACTCCATTCATTTGTCAATATAAAGTCCCTCTAAAAGTGAATAGTGCTAAGTTCAAGCATAGTTTGAAGGATTTCATGACAACCAATGCTTAATAGACATTTGGTAGATAGAGTATGATCATTCTTTAGTAAACCATTAACGAAGCCTAGACATTTATCAGTTGGAATGCTAGTTTATAAAGATGCATCATAGTTTGGGATTGTTTAGTTCTTGTTGATGGATAATTCCGAGGTCTTTGATTTGAATTCATATTAGTCCTTTATGACATTAATTAGGTTGTATTAAGGTGGCTTCAGTATATTGCTTAAATATCAAGATAAAGCACATATGGGAGCACTTGTGAAATCCATCATGGGTCTTAAAGGAATATCAAGCTTGTGAGTTTCCAGTAGTCCATAGGAACGCTTTCACATGGTCACGCGTATGTAGCCTCTATCAGGGAAGTCCTACTCACTGCCTTCTCGTAGTGGGGGTGTTTACGAAATTGAGAGGACAAAAAGAGAATGTCCGGCGCTTTAACTGGGTTGGTGGACAAGGAGAGTTTACGTAGGGGAGTTGGAAAACCCTGATTCCAAACCAATGGTGCACATGGGCTCCAGTATCCTGAGGGAACAAATGGCGTATGAACCAATCGTTGGTCACCTGCTACCATGGGACTGCATCTCCTTACGTTGCTCCACTGCCTTGTGGATCAGACCTTTACGTCGAAGGCTCCGGGTGTGGCCCCCTAAGAAAACCACCTGCTTCGGTCTGGACACCCGGGCAGTATCACAGCCCTCACACATATCAAATGAGATTTGTGTCGCGTATATGTGTTTGTTGCCCCTTTGTACCAATATCTATGTGTTCAAACAAATAAAAAATAAACTATAATTAATAATTCTTTAAAAATAACTTAAAATGTAATTACCTATTATTCTTTCGTATAGTTTAACTTCTTTCGTTATGCATAACTTTTTTCTGAATAAATATGTAATGACATATTCTTATGTTGAATTTCAAACCATCAAATGTAGATTTTATGTAAGATTAAAAATCCTTTTTAACTTGAATTATACATACTGGTGCACTTGTTGCTTCTCAAGTCTAAAATCCTCATACTACAAATAGTATTACCCCTTACCAGTACAGATAGTACAGAAAATGACAAGTTTTTTTGTTGTGACACGAAATACTAAAAGACGTTGATAATCCCACCAATCAGCAGAACTCCGGAAATAGATTAAGGTGGTCTATGTACTGTGTGACAATACCTTCATTCCTAGGACTGTCAGAAGTACTAGGCATTTTAATCCAAGCAGTTCGTATCTCTGAAGTAAATCACTTTTCAATTTCGTTGTTTAGTTCTGTATAACTCTAGAGTCAAACTATTCACTGTTTTAAATTGACTTAATGAAAGTTTTTTGAAATTAGACTCTTCCTATATACTGTCAAGAATGACAATTAATGTGTCTCACGATTATATCATATTAAAAAAACAATACAACAAAATAAGCTTTTTTGTTTTTCATTATTGTGCATTTTAATTGACGGGAGGGGAAGGGATCGAAATTTAAACCTAATATGTAATTTATTCTGTATTCGAAGGTAAATTTTCAATATATAAGGGTATTATTTAACCACACTAAGTGTTTATATAAAAGTGAAATGAGAAGAAACCAAAAACAATCTAGTGTTCTTGTGGCTTAGAGATAAAGGCGTTCGACTTCCAACCTCTAAGTTCAGATTTAAACGCCGCTCCACCTACTCCGATTTGTATCATTACCCTTCATACTTAGATTGTGCCTTATACCCATCTACTTGGTTCATAAGTTAATTTATTTTTATCTGTCATAACCTCTTTAACTATTTATAGGGTTCGATGTATTTCCTTAGTTGAGTACGTATTATTGATACTTTACTCTCAGGATCATATTTTAGCGTTCCAATCGTTTCAATAAAAACACTTTCATATTTCTTTGTTTTCATTTACTATCAGACGTATAATCGTAAGCGGGAGTTAAGAAAAATTAATTTTTCAATATTGGCTAACTATTTGGATTTGTTGGACATCATCACTCGTGATCCTAGTTCATGTAAACGAGCAGAAAAGCTTGATCATTTGGCCATTCTATTCATTAATATGCATCATCTTGTTAATGAGTACCGACAACACCAAGCCAGAGATTTACTTCGAGAAATTCTTAAATATCAGGTTATTAATTATTTCAATCATTTATTTTATTTCATAGTTGCATAGAGTTTGTGAAAAACATTTCACATCCATACATGTTGCAACACTACACTCTGAATAAACAAAACTACTTCCATAATTTATAATAATTTACTTGCGCTAAATATAGTCTAGTTAATAAGTATAGTAATTCAGAAATCATACTATAAAGACAAGTCCTTAAGTAAATTAACTCCGGCTTGAAAGATAGTCTCTCAAATTTTATGTTATTAGGTCAGAGTAAAATATAATAACTAAATGGTTTATTATTTCCGACGCATGAGTTTGAATTCTTTCAGTATTGCATGAACTCAAAACTCAACGACAGGTTACTGGATCTTTATTGTGAGGGAAGTTTGTACTATATTTATGGTACCGCTGTACTCGTGAAAAAGTTTGGTTTCAAATGTTTGTCGTATAATTGTCGTCACTGGACTGTCAGCATTATACTTGTGTAACAGTTAGTTATCTAAGTCACTCAGATCTAAAGTTTATTTAGTAAATAGTTAACTATTAGATCACTTATGTTAACTTCATTCTAATTACTTAGGATCCATTTTGATCTAATGGGCAACAATTAAACCTAGTAGTCAGGCCCTAGTATCATTTCTACGTGCGTAATCTATAAAATATCCAACAGTCGCTTATTTTACATACAATCGTATTATTTTATTGTCGAGAAACTACTTTACTGACTCGGTGTGTTATCTTTTGATATCAGCTCATTCGGGACCATTTTTCAATAAATCGTTGTGGACAGCTGTATTTCGACCACATTACATCATGTCATTTAGTTTCCTACTCATCATTTTAGCAACCAATACACAGCAAAATTCTTGATCATTCTTCATAACGCACTAAGGTTGCACCCTTCTACTTTAAACACTTGTTTCTCAACTAGTCGGTCATAGGTTAAAAACACGAGACACATATCGCAGTTCGTATGGTCGGGTAATATCACTAGCCGTTACATAATAAATGACTCGGCTTAGCATACATACCTTTACAATATATCTGAGTTATATTTAGTTTCTTCACTTGAAGTTTAATGACTAATTAAATTTAGTCATCCTCAGGCAGTTATTCGTCTTATAAAATACTTTCCAGTTAGTTGTCATCAAAGTATGTTATGGCACAAATACACATCGGCTAAAGCTGTCACAATACCTATCACACGAATAAAAGAGAAAATTAGCACCTGAAACGATTTTAATTTGTGAAAGATTGATCAAATCGTTCTGATCCGAATATTATTTAGCATAAACCCAATCATTTTTTACTAGTCAATCATCGAAATCCAACTTAGACTTATCTCGACTAGCAACTCGAAATGAATATACACAGATACAATGTTTCATAATACTTATGCAGGGATTTCATCTACTTTCAGGTTAACATAGGAGCAGAAACTGTCGAAAAGGCTGAACAGTATTTAACACGAGCAGACGAACAACTCAGGATAGCAGCTAATGATCTTATTGTCCCTGGTACACCAGTTTCAACTTCTAATAGTTTTAATCTCATGGACAATCTACGGAATGGTCTGAATGATCTAGGCCCCGAGTTGGCTCCCTTATTACATACGGTGCTTGATGAGACACTAGTATCTAATCCTGTTGGTCGGTATTTGCAACCTAAGCAAGGATCTATATCCCTTCCAAATCAATCATTGGAATACTGTTCTGTCAATGTGAACAATCCTGATGATTATCGAATACCTGATCACATTGATATGGCTCTTGGGATTTTCTATTTCAAACTAAAGATGATCCTGAAATGGATGTTAGCTAGTGTGCATTTATTTCATTGTATTCTCAGAATCAGTATAAATAAATTATTTTCGCGTGTATTGGAAGTATGCCTTTCATTTACTAAAAATTATATTTCAATCATATAATGATCTGTTATCATCATATATATTTCTGGGTCTTTTTCTCTCTAGTATTCAGATTACAATACCTAGTTATTTCTAAGTTTATTACAGGGCTGTCGTAGCCGATGACTATCAGTACTTTTCTATATATATGCTTTATATTTAATGCATTAGGAGGTATTTAGCTAAAATATTGTAAGTTCTCTTGGTAATAATGCAATTTCATATTAACGTTGCAAAGCAATTTGTATTATGTTTGATTAGAATTCTTTTAAATGTAGGAACATCTTCAGTTTGATGGTTCTATAGTTTTCAACTGATTATTGCAACGAGATCATCTTGTTCACGATGACATATGCCCCTTTAATTGACTAGTCTTTAACTGATTGATTGAGGTTATAGGCATATATTGACTAAAACTATGATGATCTTACTCTGATTAAAAAAAACACTTCCGATTTTTCTCTAAATCACTAAAACGGTTGAACTATGCAGTTGTAAATTGACGTTTTTATTTTCTAAGAAAAAATTGGAACTACAAAATAATTTGGTATATACCATAATCTATAGAATAAGATTGGGACGTGTAAATCATTAGGTTTTCCATTCTAAAAAACCAATCTATTAATTAATCCTGTCAACCATCATTAGAGCATTGGCCGCCCACCAGCATTCTCCATCCAACGCTGTTCTGGGCAATCCTTTACGGTTACTATTCATCCTTTCCATGCCTGCTTCCAATTCTCGGAGCAGTGTGTTCTTTGGCCTCCCTCTTTTCATCATCCCTTCAGGATTCATGTTAGTGCTTACCTCGTTATGCAGTCTGATGATTCCCTCGATGTATGTCCTATCCATTCCTGACTCTTTTCCTAATTTCCTCTTCAGCTAAAAGTTGGTTTGTTCTCTCCCACAGTCGGCTGTTGATGATGCTATCCGTCCAACGGATATCGAGTATTTTGCGTAGATAATTGTTTATAAATATTTGTACTTTTCTGATGATGGATGTAGCAGTTGTCCAAGTTCCAGCTGTATACAGTAGAACTGTCTTGATGTTCGCATTGGAGATTCTGACTTTGATGTTGGTTAAAAGTTGTTTTGAGTCTCAGACATTTTCCAATTGTAGGAATGCTGCCCTTGCTTTGCCAATCCTTACCTTCACATCATCATCCTTGTTTATCGATGATGTTGCCCAGATACGTGAGACTTTCCACCTCCTCCAGAGTTTCTCCATCAAGTGTGATTGGTTTAGTGCACTCTGTGTTGCATTTCAGGATCATTCTTTTTCCCTCGTTTATTTTGAGGCCTACTGCTGCCAAGATTGCTGCTACACTGACTGTCTTCACCTGAATTCGTTGGTGTATGGGGTAAGTGAGCTAAATTATCTGCGAAGTCCAAATCGTCTAGCCGCATCCGTACTGTCCATTTTATTCCGTGCTTCTCTTCATGTGTGGAGGACTTTATAATCCAAGAGAACACTGGAAGAACGAGAAAAGACAGGAGTAAGCAGCCTTGTGTGACTGCGGTCTTCACTTGGAATGTGTCTGTCCGTTGACCATCCAGATCCTTTCGATCGTTGATGGAGTTACATCTATAGGATGGTCTGTGTGTGCTGCTTTAATGGGTGGTGGATTGAATGGAGCTGTTCCATTCAAGAGTTCCTCAAATTGTTCTACTCATCTGTTCTTGAATCTCGGTGATTAGCTTGCCTTTTTTGTCCTTGATCGGTGTCTCTGGTTCACTATATTTCCATTCCAGTTTCCTGATTGTGTCATATTGCTGTCTCATATTTCGTTTTTTTGCATCCTTTTCCTCTCTGGTTGCTAGGCATCCCACGTATTTCTGCTTGTCGGATCTAATGCACTTCTTTACTTGCTTGTTTGCTTCTATGTATTCAGCTCGTTCCTTGACTTTCTCTGTTCTTGTTCAGATTTTATTAACTGCTCTCCTTTCTTGAATCTTATCCATGGTATTGACATAGAGTCATTCCTTATGATGATGCTTTTTGCGGCCCAGCACCTCCTGGCATGTCGAAGTTACTTCTTCTTTGATCCTTTTCCAGTTGTTTTACATTGTAGTGTTATCTTCCTTGAGTAGATGTTGTAAGGCTTGGGACCTGTTGTTGAGAGTTATCTTGAATTCGTTGAGTTTGTTAGTATCTGGAAGGGAGGTTGTATTGAACCTTTGTACTGCTGTTTCTCCAGTTGTCCTTTGTTTGTTTAGCTTCAGTTTAATCTTGACTACAACTAGGTGGTGATCTGAAGCTATATCAGCTCCTCTCCTGTTTCTCACGTCTTTCATTGTCCTTCTGAATTTTTTGTTGATACAAATATGATCTATCTGATTCTCCGTGGTGCGATCCGGTGAGACCCATGTAGCTTTGTGTATGCGTCTGTGCGTAATACTGTGTCGTCTATAACCAATTTGTTGAATGCACACAGGTTTACAAATCTCTCCCCGTTTTCGTTTCCGTCTCCCAGTTCATCTCGTCTCATGATATCCTCATATCTGGTGTTGTCCATCCCGACTTTGGCGTTTAGATCTCTCATCAGGATGGTGAGATCCTTTCTTGGGCACTTCACTGATTGATTGCAGCCTGTCATTAAACTGATCTTTATCATATTCCTCATCGGTGGGCGAATAGTACTGGATAATATTCATGGTCCTGGATCCATGAGATCTCTATTTTATGAGTGTTTTTCATGCTCCTTTTGATATCATCAGTGGAACTCTTTGTGGGTAAGAAGTTTTTTCTTTATGACGAGTGCGCATTAGCATTTCTCCCGAATCTAATCTTTTCTGTCTAGCTTGGGTCTAATGGATTTCACTTATTCCGAACAACGCCAGGTTGTATTTTCTCATTTCCATAGCTGTTTAATTGGTCCCTCCCAGTCTCTCTCTTGTTAATGGTTTCTCTAGTTGATAGAAAGAGCATTGGTCTCGTGAATTCCGAAGAATCTAGGCTTTCATCATCAAGTATCATAACTCTTCTCGATGAAGATAGTTGAACCCTCAATGCAGAGTTTAAGTGATTTTTTCTGGTCAGAGTTTTTTAGCAAGGTTGTTTTCTACGGGATGAAGTTGTTAATCCTATACTCAACCCTCCTTCTTTGTCCGGCTTGGGAATGGCAGTAACTTTAAGAGGGGTACTAGAGGATTTTAACTCTGGGCCACATGATTGTGTATTATTTGTTGTAATCGAATGACAGAAGCCTCTGAAGGCGACAATAATCGTACACCAAATATATATGCACCACACAAAACAATGAGAATTGGAAGAGAAAAAAGAAGGTAAGGAGCATATAGGAAAAAAAAGAAGAACAATAACGACCACAGATTAGTGTAAGGCAGTGTAATAATAATCGTGGGGGAAACGGAAAAGTACAACCAGAAGAATTCTTTCAGTTAAGGAAGATACAACCACTTTTTATGAAGAAAGTAAAAGAAGGTTAATGCAGGATCGCCACTGGTTTCTATTCTGAGCCATATCTGACAACGTCCCTAGTCACTGTGTTGCAGCCAGGGCGTCGTGAAGGACCAACAGAAGCCAGCCTTTTGCAGCTTTCTTTCATGCCACGACACCATGTCATACACTGACCACCTCTCCGCTTTTTCCAACCAGTCCCGGTGTCCGCAAATAATGCACGACGTGGAATTACCTGAGACGACATTCGTAGAACATGTCCAAGTCACCGAAGTCGGTGTTTCAAGATGGTAACACCAATTGGATTATCGTCTCTGCATCCGAACACACGATGCTGAACCTCTGCATTACTAACATGGTGTTGCCACTGGAGGTCAGTAATCTTTCGGAGACAGCGATGATCGAAAACAGAGAGTCGTCTAACATCCTCAACTTGGAGAGGCCAGTGTCATGACCTTGATGTCTGGCCTTTCTACCACGCGAATTATCCACCAATCAGATTACGACCACAAATCTTCACTCTATACCAATCAATGACGTTCAACCGATGTGGGTAGTCTAGCGCCTTGTTGGTCCGAGGTCCTTCTAGCCCGTCTGCTTGAGTCCAAAAAAACAATACCAGCTTCCGCAATATGAATTATATATTTCAAACATACTCTGTTTATACACTAATCAGACAGACCACAACGTACCATAAAATAGAAAATAACATGTGTACACAAACAAGCCAAAAAGTGGCTTTGAACGCGGGAGATAGTAATTAATAGACTGAACATAGATTAAGAACCGTAAATCGTATAGTAATAAATTATAGGTCAAAATAAAGCTTATAATAAGGGGAATATAAATACACACAATGTAATTACTGAATAATTATACAATAAGAATATTCATAGAATATTAGTCTATTAACAGTCCTCGGAAGTTACCTGTAACTTAATCTTCACTGGGTTATAACAGCCAGGTTTCACAAGCATAGAGCAGAACTGCTCTCACTGACTCGTTGTAGACCCGACCTTTTACAGCCAGACTCACATCACGAAGGCGCCAAAGATGGCCCAGATTGGTATAAGCCGCTCTGCCTTGCACTATACCTGAATTGATCTCATCACTCACGCCACCACCAGCACTTATGCAGCTACCTAGATACACGAACTTCTCGACTACTTCTATCTGCTCACCATCCAGGGTGAGTACAGGATTAGAATCCTGCCAGTCTTGTAGAAGTACTTTGCACTTCGAAGGTGCAAAGCACATACCATACCTACGGACACTGATTGCCAACTGATTAAGTGCGGATTGCATGCCTTGGGCATTATCGCACAGTAAGACAATATCGTCCGCATACTCAAGGTCGAGAAGTCTTTCTCCAGGCAACAGATCCACACCACCATTACTTACATTCATCAGAGCTGTTTCCAGAATGTCATCGATGGCAAAGTTGAAGAGGAATGGTGAGATTGGGCAACCCTGCCTAACCCCACTGCTCGAATGGAA